GAGAGATTCTTACAGAGTTGTTATTTGGATGGCTAAGACATGCTGCGGTATACAGCATATATTTTAGATCAAGGCAATAAATTATATATTCTTTTATTTTTAACCTGACAGCTATTTAAGTAGAAAATTAAGTTTCTGAACATGTCCTGTGCCACTGGTAGTACAGATCTAAGCCTCTCATCTATGGACCTCATCTACAGTTCTCTATTAGACTATATGTCAATTCCCTGTAGATTTCAACTAATTGACCTTGAGGGAAAGCTGAGTCCCTGACGATATGGTCTTCAATCAGCACTGCCAACATAAATAAATGGTTCCTCTCTGGATCCAGTGAAAGTAATCTGAGTGGAATTTAAGTTTTTGATAGACTTTAAAGAAATGAGTCCAGATGTGAAATAATACCCTTTCAATAAGAAGACATCAGATTTAAGACATCTAAGTTTTAGATAATAAAAAGGTTGATGCAATAAAAAATGTTTAGCCCTTTATGTTGGAAAATTGTAAGTTATCTTACTGAAATCTAGCCAATTCCAGAATTTATTTATTCACTAATAAACTGAGTATAACTCGACAATAACCTTCACTGTCAGAAGAAAATGCGGTACTGTTCCAAACTAAAGCTGAATTTCATTCAACAGTGTTTAGTTTAAAATTTTCAAAATGTGAATTATTTTTTTTCTATTTGAGTGTGACTGTCGCCTCAGATAATTTTATTTGAAAGCAAAACTTCTTCTGAAATAATGTTGTGCTATTTTATGCACAATCTCAGTGTGGATTTTACAGCTCATCCAACAGGTCTTCCCTACAAAGACTTTCATTACCCCATCAGTGATAAGTCAGTACATTGTCTTATAGTATATGGAACCTTCTTTCCTAACCATAAATATTCCAAATTAATATTTTCTTCCACTAGGAAATAAAAGTTTGAAACCTTGAAGAAAAATAAATTTTAGACTGCAACCAGCACATAGGGGATAAAATACCCAAACAGCACCCGTGAGTGAAATCTAGTCATCCAACATGAAGCTGAGAATCAGAGCATTGCTACGTACTATAAACCATGACAGGGAGAAATCAAATTTCCAAGTCAGGAAACATGCTGAAATATCTTCTTAATTTGAGTTGTCTAGGTAAGGATTTCACAATTTCAACTTACACATAGGTGTGGAATATACCTAGACTAAAAGATAAATAAAAATTAGATTTCTAAAAGCCTTGTTTCTTATTTACATAAAGACAAAAAGGTTATTTAAAGCTATTGGGTGCTGTGAAAAAAATAATCCAAATCCAAGTTTACCACTTTTATTTTGGGGGGTGTGGGAAGGTACAATGTATCACTATGTATGTAGCTCAGGCTGCCCTCAAACTGGCGAATTTCCAGATTTTGCGTACTGAATGCTGTTATTACAGGAAGGTAGCACCATAACCACGCAGTGCCTGTTGTTGCTTTTTCATGTGAGATGGCAAATGTGATTTTGTTACTCCCATTTCTAACTTTCTAACAGTGTCTAACAGTTGTGAACTTTTAATGTTAGGAGGTCTTACAGAGATTTTATTTAGAACTGATTGGTGACCCTGATGACCAACCTATTTTCGAGTGTTAGTTTGTGACCTCCTGAGAATACAGATTTTTTTAAATAGTGTAGTGGGGAAATCCATCAATTCCAGTATTATTTCACAATCACTAGAGTACTTATAACTTGCTTTCAGTATATCTGAAGTCTCTCATAGTTTTATAGTTGATAGATTTATATTGCTATGGATAAAATTGGAATGGATATGAAATAAGCTGAGTGCTAATCCTGCCTGAGCTGGATTATGCACACTTAGCACATGAACTAAAATAGTTATAACACATGATAGATGGTGTTTGTCCTGAGATATTGATTGTACAGAGGGAAACATTTTTTTTTCTTTTCTGTACAATAAAGTGAGGTCTACTGGAAGTTAGCATTTGAATAACATATTAAGAAATACATGGAATTGGCTCATGGAGAAAATACCAGGAGTTGAGATGAGGGAGACCAAGAAAATATGGAGTGGAGGAAGGAAGTGTGAGCTGTTGTTATTGCTAGGAATATATTCCACAATTATATAAGAACTGGATTGTTATAGTCATTATCTTCAAAAGGTGTTTAGGAATTTGAACTGAGATCTAACAGTATGGGACTTGAAGCCTAGAAGCTCATGATCACTCTTTATGTGGGAACCTGATTGAGAAGAACACAGTGGACACTTGTTTAGTTCAGTACAACTAGTTTACCAAAGTTTGAGTAAAAGTAAGAGAATATTGTTTTGGGAGACAAAATAACAAACATCCTTTCTCTAACCCACACAAACTTCATCAGACAAAAATCCAGCATAGCACTGAGGAAATGGGCAAGGAGGCCCCAACCTAACTGAGGAACTGTTGATGACTGAGCACTGCTGGATGAGGGAGAGTTAGTCATTTTTAATGGAATGATGCTAAGTAGGCTGAACAGGCTCCAGTGAATGAATTCACACTGAGAGACATCTGGGCACACAAACTTGACTTGATATGCCTTAACATATGTGACACAATACATGAAAACCTGTGAGTGGACTATGGAGGGGTGAAGATAAGAGAAAGTATCTAAATATGACTAAAATGTAGTGTATGAAAGCCACAAAAACTCAATAAAAGATATACACAGAAAAAGAAAAAAATTTTTCTTGATTACGTCACTGTCAATTGCAGGGTAGTGTTGTAGGGGCAGCTTAGGTTACACAGAATAAACTGAAAGTAGCCATTAGAATACAGTTTTCTCAAACCAAGGACTTAGCCAGCACCTTTATATATCCTAGCTTGATTTCATATATTTCCTCCAGTTTAAAGTGAGGAAACTGAGGCACAGAAAGATTAAGTAACTTACTCAAGATAATGTAGCTGATATTTATTGGAGCAATATTTTAAGTCACTAAGACCATCATATTTTATAAAGAGGCAAGAATTCACAAATATCTAGCCAATGTCATAATTAACTGGTTAACTATGTGTTGACTGCTTAAAATTAGAATTAACAAAGGAATGTTTCATCTAAAATAAAGCAAGGAGAGGAATATTAAAGCAAATTTCAACAGCTTTCACTGAGACATAATAGTCTTGGAAAAAATAGTTCTATTTACTTATAATTTGTAAATGAAGAATATAGCTCATTATAGAAAGAACAAGGCTGTTAACAATATCACGCTTTAGCTAATTATTGCTCATTTATACTCCTATGTGATTATTCATTTTCAGTGTCTCTTGGAGATTTCATAAACATGTGAATGGCTTATCTGAGTGTCTTATTCATGGCTTCTCAAAAGTAGCATCCTTTTTCTATCCCAATCATCTGAACAAAATGTTCCTCTAATAAAGCCTTAATAATCCTAGACATTCTGGAAAAAGAATCCAATAGTTCATCAGTAGGTAAACCATAGGCCTATCACTAAATCGGACATAGTGCTGTTTGAATTTTACCAGCACAGCTTCCCTTTTATAAATGTCATCTTGACGAAGATCAAGAATGTCCATTTCCATGTAGTATCAGGAAAGTAGATTTCGCTAATTCAAGGATGCCAGATATTCCTGTAAGTTCAGGTAATCAGGATTTTTTCTAGCCTCACATGGTTTTCTTTTGCTCTTTTTAAAGAACAGGACAGCATAGGAATGTTGGCCCAGTCATCTAATGACATAGGTAGTATGAGCCATGCTCATAATTATGTTTTCCTTGCTGGATTTTGCTGAAGGCTAATTATTTCCAACAGGAACTGACTGCTGTTTAGTCTCTATTCCAAATGTTACAATGGCTGTTATTTCCAGAACCTCAAATTTTCAGACATTCTCTCTCTTCTTCCCACACCAAGGATTTTTCTGATTTAAAGTCCACTTAGCTATCTCTATATCTACAGTTACAATCAGGGATTCTCTTTGTAAGGTGACTATGGTATATTGTGGGAATCTTTTCAGTTTATCCAGTAAGACTGGTTTGCCTTTTCTACCTTGTCATTGTCATATTTGGTAATGAGATACTTCACCTGCTTATACCCTGAGAAACTGGGGGAATATCTTCTACTTAAAGATATTCACCCTCACTGAGTTGGAATTCTAGCATTCAGCTTGATAATACCTGCCACTTCATCCCTATGCATTTCAATAATTCTTCTTGTCTCATGAAATATATTCTTTGGGTTTATGCCTTTGTCATTGGACACATCTCTTTTTGATCATTTTTACATAATTCATTATGTCTTGTTTTCAAATTCAATTATTTTTAAAGCATCCAAGACATCAAAATGCATATTCTAATAAATACATTTTGCTTAAAAGTTGTGATAAAAATCATCTGTAATATTACTGAAAATGAAGAACTTTGAGAAGATGCTATTCTTCGCTGCTTCTTTTCATATTTTGTGCCTTTGTGACTTTTGCAGTGCTAATTTGTTGTGCATGACCTTTTAATAGCAGGTAGCTGATCTCCAAGTTTGTATGTTGTACACAAACATTTCATGTTTTAAAGTATAACTTTGTCAATACTCTGTCACAAAAATACATGTAGAGTAGTTGAAATGATTATGATTTGTGATACCTGTATATTAATCAAAACTCCATCGTGAGACCTGACTTGTCATTTTGTACAGATTCAGTTTCCCAGATTCTATAGTCTATAAGAAAAATATTTCATAAATCCATATTAACTCTTTTATTCTACACAGTGTATTAAAATGACCTGCTTTTAATGCAGTGTCCTAAATGCCTAACAACATTTTAATGCCACCTTTATAACTGGGAAGAAAAACTATTATTATTTGGCACCTGGCAATTGATATAATTTTTAAAACTGAAATAGTTTTGAAATAATGACTATGTGTTTCTATATTATTTCAATTTAAATCAAATTATTGATTTACTATAATTTTCTGATTTTAATGTAGAACTGGTCATAATGCTCTGTCTGCTACAACTTACAATGCATTTAACATAATCTCTGTTGCAGGTTACTTAGTTATAGAAAATCTATCAAGTAAGTTTGTGAAATTTTTTTCCATCCTGTTGAATATCAACTTTAGATTCACCAACTCAGTGAATCTTAATGTGTGGTTCCCTTTTTGTATGTTTGTTGGAAAAACCCTCTAAGCTGGATATAAATCATAAAAGCATGACTAATTGCACGGTAACTGGAGAAATGCTTTCTCCCTCTCTGGGGTGAAATCTGCATGTCTGTATTTTAGCTTGGGAAGCAAGACGGGGATATTTAAACTACTTGGGACTTAAAAGCCATATCATTATAAGAATGAGGTCACTGCAATATTTTATATCTTCTAAAACCTTGTAATGTGTAAATTTTTTCTGTATGACAAAGGTATTATATGCATTAGGGTTCAATGATAACTTCATGCCCGCACATTTACTTGAAAACTTTTATTCATTAAAATACCAAATCTTCCATTTAAAATCACTTGGAAAATTGAAAGAATTTTGTACAATAAATGCAAAGAAAGTAAACTTTAAGAGGGAAAGCTGGCTTTGTAAACAGGACAGAGTGACATTAAAGTAGTGTGACTGAGCTTTTTGGATTGTCCCTTGTTCTTTAAATGTTCACAGTGCAGTGAGTGCCCGACCTTAAAGTGCAAGAATACAATCTAACATGATTCCATTTTATGCCTTTCTTTACTTGGAGGCCAATAAGCAAGAAATCTTTCCTGCAACACGTTGAAGAGCTTTGTACAAACAACAACCTAAAGTTTCAAGAGGAATTTTCGGTATGTTACCAGCAGTTGTCACAACATTGCAAGACCTCCAGTAGTTTCATGTGTCACATTTCATGTTCATTTTAAGCATGTGAGGCCATGAAGGATTCTGGCCTTGATAATCAATACCCAATTACCAGGTTGATTGTTTAGATAGTAATGTTACCCTGGGTGGCCTTTGGTGCAACCTGATCAGATTAGTCACCTACTGTGTCTGGAGAAGGTGCTCTTCTTCAGACCTCCCTGCAATGGCAGCCTGGCCCTGGACACCCGCTCTTTCATCCAGAAAGAGATGCAATTCAAGAGTGATTCATTATTTAGCTTATATTTTTGTCTGAATTATGTTAGACTGAGACACTAGATTTTTTTATTAAATATAAATATACTGAATAAGTGATACTGCAAAGATGATGAGACTCGTTTAGTGTGTATTCATGATGCAGAAGGATGGGGGACAGAACTGGGTGCTTCCAGAACTTGGGAAAAAATAGCACCATTTCTAAAACTACCCCAACACAAATGAATAATACCTACAATTTAATAAGGTCTGTTTCCAAGTTAGTATGAAATAAAAATGCCTTATCACATTATGGAAATATGTAACTGGAAGATCTTGTTTGAACTATTTAAAAGTTGGAAATAATTTTATTTTTAAACTTTCATTGAATCATACATCTTATATTTTATTTTTGAGAATAGTATATCAATAAAATTGAAATTATTTAGAAGCTAAAGATGATACTAGATTGTGATCTATTTTGAGACTCTTAAGCACCTTTCCTGACTTATGTGATTATTTTATATTGTGAAAGTGGAATAGATTCATTATTGTAAACAAAGTCTATTTCTATCTTTTTTTCATGAATTGCTTAGTGTATGAACTTCTGAAACAAAGAATCAAACAATTGGTTTACAAATTTCAGGATTATAAAATTTCAGTTTCTCAGGGAATAGTAACAAAAATGTGAGAAGATTAATGGTATTTCCTGCTGCTTTTTGGTTATGCGTCTTAAATAATATTAAGTAAAGTCAAGGGAACCATAAAATTATACAGAAAGAACTTTCAATTTTTCAGAAGCAAAAGTATAACTTTACTATAATAGAAGCAAATATAATTAAATTATGCATGTCCAAGTAGATGACAAGTTTTGTTAGCAAATACGTTTTTATGTATTGAGAAAGTTTCTAGCTTAACTTTTTTTCTGAGACCATATTTTCAATTTATCTCTTATCCTAATGCTTCCTTAAGTATTTTAAATCAAAATTATTATGTTGTAATAAACATACATATTGGATACATGAATTTGACTAATCTTTTAGGCTTGTGTTCTACTTACTTATTCTTTACAGTTTCATAAACTTCTGCTCTAGGACAGGCAATGTATTTGAACACTGGTATTTATCAGTTCAGTATTTACAGGCTAAGTGACTTTGAAGAAATTACCTAATCTCACTGTGCCTCAATGTCTTCATTTGTAAAAAGATACTACCTATCTCACTAAACTGTAAATTGTAAAATTATTAAATATACATTTATCTCTGTGAGCAGTGCCTGGAACAAATATTAATTATTACAATGATGATTCCTACCACAAATAAGCCCAGGTCATGGTAAGGACTGTAGGGGTGAGACATACTGTAAAATTTACAGATGTATCATAACTAAGATGCACAGAGAGACATGAAGATTGATGCTGAATGCTAGTCACAAAAGACTTGTGAAAATGGTGACGTTTGAGATGCACTATACCATGAGCCAAATTCAGTGAGAAGGCAAAGAACCATTCCAGAGAGAGAAATGAATGCAAAAACATAGGAGGTCAAGGAAGAACCTATTCATGCGTGCTTCCATTGAAAAGATGCTCAACAAGAGGAGAAAGGGCTACCCAGGATAGATCAGTGCAGTTCTGTGTGCCCTGACAAGTACATAGGTTCTCCATCTAATCATGCTATTCAGTCAGTCTGGTAACTGAGTATTGGCTATCAAAGCAATCATTGCAAAACTATAAATGGAAACTAATTGTAAAATGCATCATTTTTCAAGTCAATTTCCAACCAACCTTTCTCCCTCCTTTTCCTTTCTGTACTCTGAAAACCTTGGCACAGGGAATTTATCATTTCCCTGAGTTTTGATGCTTACGCCCTCCTTCTCCAGTAATGTACACCCACAGGCAAACAACTCTTTCTGAGAAAAGAATGAAGAATTATTGAACTAAAATGAATAACTTATAATGATGTTGAAAATTGGAAAAATACATCTTAATATTGATGCAGAATTTGGAATTTGAAACTTCATGAGTGTTGATCATCAGTTCAACAAAATAATAAATACATTTTCCTGTACCAACTTCCTTAAAGATGCTTGTATTACAAAGATCAAGGTAGACAGGTTGCAGCATTTTTCTCCAATGTCGACAGTAGATCTTGCTGACCCTTCGTCTGTGTCTGATCATTCTAAATCTCACCTTTTTATTGCACTATCAGTTTAACAAGCTCAACGGAGTGCAGAATTGACCTTTGGCATCTTCTCAAAATGACCAGTGCTCCACCAATTAACAGGCATGAAATCACACTGCCTGAGGAGAATAAACAAAAAATAAATCATTGAATTCCCTTCTTCCTACTGAAGAGGCATTCACATATTAAAGGGCAGTTGTGTCTTCCCCCTCCCCAATAAAGTCATGGGCAGCATGTGGCACAGTCTTTCTAACATGATTGCTGTACCTCAGTGCTTTCTGGAGTGCAAAGAAATTATCTCCAGAGAGAAATAGCCTGGCTGATGAAAATCATTTGTAATATTAATGGTGACATTTAGGGAAAATGATTACTGTTCATTTGACCTTGTTGCCACAGTTATGATGTGTGTTTTTAATTAAAATTTAAAATGGGACCCGTGAGTTTTAACTAATTGGTAGAGGGATTGCTTAGCAACATGAAGCCTTGGATTCAACCCCCAGTAGAAAGCATAAAAATTAAAAATAAATGAAAAACAAGTGGAAATAGGGCTGGGGAGATAGTTAAGTGGGTGAAGTGCTGGCCTTGCAAGCCTGAGGACATGAACTGTCTCAAAACTGTGTAAGAAGCTGGGCACAGTGGCACATGTTTGGAATCCCGGCACTGGGGCGGTAAAGGCAGGACCTGAGGCTCACTAGCCAGTTATCACAGTTATCACAGCTTACTTGGCAAGCTTCAAGCCAATGAGAGACCCTTCTCTAAAATGTAAAGTTGGCCATAACACCTGGGGAATGGCACCTGAGGTGTCCTCTGGCTTCCACACACACGTACACTAATGTACACACCTGCATGCACACACACATAATAAATAAATAAATTTTAGAACACGGAATTGAAATTTACTGTTCAGAATTTCTGGCAAGTTTAAACTTCTCAATGACTTTGTTTCACAGGAATTACCAAAATTTCTTCAGGATCTTTCTTCAACTGATGCTGATCTCCCTTGGAACAGAGCAAAAAATCGCTTTCCAAACATAAAACCATGTACGTGCACTTATTATTTCTAGTTTATGAAATGTTTTAAAAGCCATCATCTTATTTTGTACTTCTTTAATGTTTTCTTATACACCAATTGAATTATAGCAATATATTTCAAGTTGCATCACATTTGTTTTGTGCAGAATTATTAAGCTATGTGGTTTCCAGCTTGTTCACACAAGGTTCACTTACGCAGTCCAAGAAACTGTGGATCTACTGGTTTCTTAGCTTTGTAATTTAACCCAAATAAGGACCCTGTTCAATGCCTTACTACAAACCTTGTCTCAAAAGGAAAGATAATTCACACTTACCTTTATGTATTAATTTCCCTTGAGAATAGTAGTTTTATAGCACATAAAAAGGCATTGCAAAATACTAGTTGAAAATCATAGTAAATGTGTGCTTACTAAAATTGGTCTTGCAAAGAGGCAGAGACATGACTTGCAATAGGACAGATTCATTTTTCAACCCATAGGAAAAGAAACAATATTGTTTTAAGAATTAGAGATGGCTTCTAGAGGAAAATGCAACACTCCTGTGTTACTAATATGTTAGCTATTATATTCTTTGAATGCATGTTCTTTCTAAAATTCTGGTTCAGTACATTTTATATTAAGAATCAAATTCTTGATATTCTGATACTTTATTTCAAAATTATATTAGGATCCAGGCTCGGCGGTGCAGCCCTGTAATGTTAGGTAGTTGGGAGACTAAGGTAGGAAGATTGCAAGTTCAAGGGCAACTTGAGCTATACAGGGAACTAAAGGCCAACCTGAGCAATTTAGTGAGATCCTGCTCAGATTAAAAAAAATCACAAAAGACTGGGGATATAACTAATAGGATTTACCAACATACACAAAAAACCAGTGCTATAAAGAAAGATCAAAGATAAAGAAAGAAAAGAAAGAAAGAAGGAAGGAAGGAAGAAAAAGAAAGAAAGAAAAAGGAAAGAAAGAAAACTTCTGTATATCTTCTATCTAAAGAAATGTGGACTAAGGATGTAATAACAGAAATGATTGAGATAGGGAGAATCAGAAAATATTTTAATAGTCTAAAAGTAAAGAACTTACCCATGAAGGGAAGCAAACTTAAGAAATTGTAATGTAAGAGGTTATAGTACCATGCAATCTGCAGGAACTGTAAAATCATTATAATTTACTTAGAGTTGCATATATGAGTGGACTAATTTGCAGTATATCAACATATATAAAGTAAGTCAGCTAAGTTTGGCTTATTTCTAAGAAGTTTCTAACTTAAAATATATAAACTTTGAGGCTTTAAAAAGACATTTTTGTTGTGACCTTTCAATCTATTGTTAATAAGCTCTTGGTGTTTTATTTACCTTCCAATTTGGCTTTAAGAAAAGATGGCCAGTTCTACCTAATTATTTACAGTATGGGAAGGGAACGAAAAAGATTTATGGAACTAAATGAACAACCTCAAAACAACAAAAATGAATGAGGGGGATAGCTATTTCAACCCTCCATTCTATGGTTAAGACAATAAATAGACTTCCCGGGGGTGCAGCTCTGATTTTCTGTTGTCTGTCTTTCTAATTATGGACACATTATTCACTGGCCTGTCCCTCATAAGGTTATTGAATTTTTAAGTGAAACAGTCACATAAATCACTTTGGGCAATTCTGAAACAGAGGAAGCATTTAATAAATGTTAGCTCTTATAGTAATCAATAGATCACTTCCCTTTAAATGCTACTAACTTTCTGGGTAAATAAGACATAGACCGTGAGGCCTTGCAAACCCCATTCCTTATTCTGGGCTAGTTATCAATCTGTAACGTCATATCCACCTCTGCAGGCAGGACACCATAGTTTCACACACAAAGACAGGAAGAGACACACAGACACTAGGACAGCAAACAAGATTTTTTGACTAAGTATGTTTTGCTTTTGATTAGAAGGGACCCATAGAACTGTAGAAACATGTCTTTCACCAAAACAAATGAATATATTTATGTAGAATCTGAATTTTTGCTTGAGCAGCTTTGAGCAGTGCTCTGTTTCCCCAAGTAATGTTGGAAGGGGAACTTTGAGTATCAGTGCATTTGGGGAGATATTTGCTTACAAGGCTTTCGGATGTCAGAATTAGCATCAAATACTTGCAGAATTAATTTCAAATCTCTGACAGGACACTATGACCTTAATATCTAAAACCACCAGAAAAAGTTTAGCTTCTTGTTGGCTCAGCTATTTATAAACATGCATATCTAGTGAGTGGAAGCCCACTGGCTTCCCTTCCTGAATTACAAGACTAGCTACAATGTCATCAGGTCACACAAAAGCCAATGTTCTGAAATACAAATAATTTGAAGAAATTTGTTTAACTATTCCCTATCTCTAAATTTAAACACATTTATTAGGCAGTCATAATTTCTGACAATACAGCTAAAACATGTTAAAAATTTGATCTTCATACATGCTTAAAATTAAAGAACATGAGAACAGTGCTGAGTACTTCCTCTAATCTTTCATACAAGTTTTTCTGAGACAGTTACACAAAATAAATAGTATAACTGCATGGTATATTTGAGAGAACACTAAAGACACTATGTAAGAATTTAAACAATCCTCTTCCTTTCCATGAAAACAAAGCTTTTTTTCTTTTTTCTTTTTTCTTTTTTTTTCTGTTCATAGTTCTGAGAACGTAGGACCTTGCATGGGCGAAGCATATGCTCTACCATTCAGCGTCGCAACCCTACCCCAAAACTTTCCAAATAAGTTAGCAATTTTGTCATTTCCATGTCTAAAGTTATCACTAGACATCACATATCAACTTAGTAAAAATTCCCAAGAAAGCATAGTTTCTGACACGCTGAAGAAAATGTGTACAGAATATCTACTTGCTTAAAAACTTTCTTAAAATATTCTCAGGAATAATAATTAGAAATTTTGTATTAAAGAAAGAATAAACAGTTAAGTTACTGAGAAGGAATTATGGTTTTAAGTTAGCCCTAAATGAGTAGAAAAAAATGTGTGATAAAAGTGATATTTTGAATCAGAGAAAGAACAATGGAATTTTTAATGAAATGGTTTATTGACCCAAATAACAATAAATATTAAAGATATGCCTATACCTGATTCCTGAAAAAATAAATCTCATTAATGAAAGACTGAAATACTTAAAAAGTAAACCAGAAAATGCATTTGAGTTTCAGCAGAAGTGGAAAGAATTTACAAAATTAAGAATTTTTAGTATGAAAACCTGATTACTAAGGAATACCCATGAACCATAATAAAAAGGAGACTTTTGATTATAGCACAGTAAGGGAGAATAGTCAAAGGCAAATGGTAACTTAAGGAAAATTTAATATATGTGTCAAAAAGCTGCTGATAGACTCAGCATAAAATGTTTAAAGGAGGAAATATGAAAGGACTGTTAATAGAACAACCAATAAACAAAAAAATCAAATTTCACTTATATTTAGTGAAAATAAATAAATACTATGATACATCAATTTGTATCTACCAAAAGGATATAAATTCAAATGTTTATATTTTGTGATAGTAAAAATAGGAAGAGAAATGCTGGCAGACTGCCCCAGAATTTCTAGATGAGGAACAGCTGATCTTCCTAAAACAAGGATCTCTAGATAGGCTGACTAGATTCAGATGGACAAGCACTGGGAATGGCTGGGGGTGCTGACAGCACAGTGGACAGTAACAGGGATGACAGAGTATATGGGCTCCAGCGGGGCTGGGGGGGGTGTGCTATGGGAGGGTGCCATTTGAGAAGTGGTATACAGATGAATAAGATTTTTTGGGACGTCCTGTATGATATACACACACAAAATCAACAAATTAAAAAATGACATATTTAAGGAGGAAGCATAATAATTTACTTCATGTTAATTAGTAGAGGTGATAAACATTATCATTGAAATCTACCTGATTTCATTTTGAGAATAATTTGATAGTATCTTTCAAGATTGGAAAGGCACACATGTGATTTGTGTGATTAGTTCAAATATGCTCTTCAGCACTTTATAATGACAAGTGAAATCAATTTAAATCATCAAATTAAATAAGTATGTCATATCAAAAAAACTAAGTCTTTTTAAGATAACAAACTAGATATATTTATGCTTGCATGAAAAATTAGGTAAATTAAAAGAATTTGTAGAACAGAGTGCATATCACATTTGTAGTTAATTTTGTGATAATATATACAAAAATTTCCGAAATATGTATGATTTATTAACAGTTATCTCTAGAGAGTAGGAAGATAGGATAAGAAGGAATTTTTAAATTTGTATACCCACATGTGAATGGGGAATATTGGATCATGAACTTTTACATTACTTTTATAATACAAAGGTCATGGTAATTTAAAAATTCAATTATCATCGATTCCTTACATTTTCTTCTCAGATAACAATAACAGGGTGAAGCTGATGGCAGATGCAAGCATCCCAGGATCAGATTACATTAATGCCAGCTATGTTTCTGTAAGTTACTACTTTTATATAGCTTATATTTTGATGAAGCATGAATACTGAAATTGTATTTCTCTTCCAGATAGTTAAAACAACAAACCCATTATAATGCTATGAATTTTAATATGCTATTTACTTTCCAGTAACACAATGTATATTCAGTATACGGAAGAAATAAGGAGGCTCTTAGTAGATTTCATTAGCAACAATTATTTTACTAGTCTGTGGTGACCTATATCATGTTACTATCCCTGATTTTTCCATTAGTTCATATGCTTTGCTAATGTATTCTCTGACCACAAAGTTTGCCAGTCTCTCTCAATGAAATGGACACATTCACACAATATAAAAACTTAATCAGCATTCCCTTTTAGATTTTCGTCCTTCAGTGGGTCATGATGTCTCGTTATTTCTGTCCTCAACTACTTGTAAAATGTGTCCTTCAGTGACTATAAATGAATCAGCCTGAAGAGCAAAGTGACGTATTCATAGCAGTCTCCTTTCTGTCATAGATACTAAATTCTTCATGAGTGAGACTGAAAATTGAATAAAGTCACATTGGATTTTATCTTTTTCCACCATGATTCATTTTTTTCTGACAATAGTCCTCACTATTCTGGGTAACCAGAAAATTTACATGCATTCAAGACCTCTGTTGGGTTGACATACTTACGGAAGTATATATTTTAAAATTCAAAATACCTATCTGGTCATTAAAAGTGATATTCACCTTGGAACTTTTTCTAAAATATCCTTGAAAATTAAATGTCAGCGTTTACTGGTATCAATTCATTCATTTTCTCCCAGGGTAGATTATTTTATGTCTAAGATATGCTAATATAAAATTTCAAGATATGACCCTTGCTGTTTTCACCTACTGGCTTCAGTTAGAGTAAGATTAACCTTGGGAGCGTGCAGATACTTGAGGATTTCCTCTGCTGTCCACATGCTCCAGTTTTCTATGCACAGATATTTTCCTTGTCACTGGCCTGCTGCTTCCTTCAGTTTAGTGAGGTCCTTCTTTTCTTGACATCAAACACATCTGTGTTGTGTTTATTGTTTCTAAAATCATATATTGTCCTATTTTCTAAGGAGTAAATAGTGGACATGTGAACTCTCCCATTCTACCTTATTACTAGATCTTTGGATCTCTATTTAAAATGACATATGAATATACTATTATATTATTTTATTCACATCAAATTGTTGATTCCTTAAGAAATTTAAATTTTCCTCTAAATACTATGCTTGAATTTTATGCCTAGCAATTTTCATTGTAAGTTAAACTCTGCAGCATGTTGAAGTGCTATGTAATGATGTCTATGCATTTAGATGCTTAAATTTAACTATTGCTCTATTGATAAAAATGTTTTATGATGTAGTAGGACAAAGCTAACTGGTCATGCCATTTTTAACTTACCAATAAGTAGGTCCAAATTAACATCTCCTATTCTGTAATATTATATCAGATATGAGGTAACTGACAAAACAGGATAGGAATATGATCTTAGGAATCCAGACAGGTGTAGTAAGCCTAATTCAACCATACAGATGACATAAGCAAAGTAATATTTATGAACTTCCAGTGTTCTCCCTAAATATTATAGTTGTCATTAGGCAACCATGAGCAAGTGATAAGATGGTTTAAGCAATAAACAAGAAAGCCTAAAGGTAAATATTCTGCTATAACAAAGTGATGTTGTAGTATAATAAATCCTACAAGAAAGTTACTATGATATGTGTAGTGATGTGCATAGCATGACTGAGTTGTATGGTGAGCAGGTCCAGATGAGCATACTTCATGTGGAGGCAGGTTTCCAGCATAGTATGAGCAGTATATTGCATTGTTGGTTCTTTTCAGGAAATCCTCCTTTGCTGCAGATGCCAGGAATAAGGAGAAAAGACACAGTGATGACACTGTAGTTGCCTTCACGTCTCTAACTCCAAATTCAGCTTGTCTTTACCTTGGAAACAAACAAACAAAAGCCTGACACTTCAATTTTCTCCTGTTATATGAGTTTTCTTATGTGGCACTTTCAATTGAAAGTTGATGAAACATTTCCAAGAACAAATGACAGAGTCCAGATGTAAGGGAGCTCTTGGCTCCTATTCCTTTGGAGGTTAGAAGCAAATGGGGGGAGGGGGAGGCTTAAAGGGAGGTAGTAAAGTAACTGGTGTTCATAAAGATATAGAAAGGTGAGAACCAGACACATGGAGAAGAGAAAGGAGAAGAGCAACAGGGGCATGCAGCAACTCCTTCAAGCCAGACCACGGTCTATAATTAGACTAATATGATAGCACCTGCATTCCTCTGCCCTTGACCAGAATGGAGAATTGAGCTTCCTTAGCAAGAGGCTGTAAAAAATTGATGGCAGCTGTATGTGAGAGGGGAAGTAGAGAGATTGCAGTCTCATAAGCTGCCACTAACTACACCAATGCATTTAGAAACTTTTCAGTAGGGTCCATAATAAATATACTCTTTTATCGAATAGAGGAAAGCTCTAATCCCTCAAAATTATCTCTGCTGCCAAGCTTAGATGCTAAGATTCTCTTTCACCATAATTAGAATTTGAATCTATGACATAAGTGTGTTCTAACATTAGAAATAATAGACTTGTCCCCACGTTCATAGATTATAATACTAAAGGATTTTGAGTTCCTGAAAAACTGAAATGTAATGAAAAGAAGAAAATTTTTCTAAGTCATCCAAGTTAAAATTATTTGACATTTTTCTCTTTGACTCTCTGTATTTTGTATATATGCAAAGCCATTGCCATTTTCCAACTTCTGTTTTATATCATTTTTTGAATGTCTATCTTGTGTGAGGAAATACATGGGATGAGGATTGTCATGGGATGAGGATGAACATGTCTATTTTTTATTTTGATTGAATTTTTGTGCATTTCAATACAATACATCTTAATCATATGTAGATGCTCTCCCCCATCTGCACCTGCCTCATAGCCCCTCCACCAGATTTCATACATTCTGTCATATAGTTAAGGCCTATCAAGTCAAGTTTGTGTCCTCAAATGTCCCTCGGTATGATTCCATCCACTGGAGCCTGGTCAACCTATCTAGCCAGCATCACTTCCTTAAAAAATACCAACTATCCCTCACCCAGCAATGATCTTTTGCCAATAGTTCCTTAGCTAAGGTTGGGACTTCATACACATTTCCCCAGTAATATGATGGGCTATTGTCTGTTTTAAGTTTGCCTGGATCTTGTGCATGCTTCCACCATTGCTATAGTTCAGATGAGCAAGTTCTCAACCACCTGGGAAACTCTGTTTCCTTGTGGCCACCCACCAACCATGGCTTTTACAGTCTTTCCTCTTCTTTGGTAATGGTCCTGATCTGCAGTTCACTCAGGCAAGGACACCTGAAGGCATATATATTATAACACACACACACACACACATACACACACACAAACACATGCATACATGTATACATGTCATACAAACATAACATAAGCCTTATGCATTTGTATAGTATTTTAATATCTTCAAATTTTCCTATTTCTTATTCATTTTATAACTAGCTTCAAAATGTCTACTTAGGTTTGCAACAACTATTATTACTGATTTAAGATTGTGAAGCTGAGAATTTGCAAATTTAAGAGACTTGTTCATAGAGGTATGCAATGGGAAAAGAAGAATTCTGAGAATAGAGCTCTGGGCTAGGCCCCTGTGCTGTTTCCATCACCTGTGCTTATCACCATCATCCATGAAAGATTAATTGAAGTTAGCAAAATTTAATGAAAATTCTTACCTTCACTAAACTTAATGCTAGAACCATTGAAAAGCTACATAAATAATGAAGGTGCGCATAGTCTGTCCTTCAGAACAGTTAAATCATAAAACTACAAGGAAAAGGATTGGCCTCACTGTTCGTTACCTTCTCCATTATATCTTAAATTTCTGTTGCTGCTATAAAACAACCTGACCAAAAGCAACCACCGTGTGCGTGCCTGCTCTGAGTCTAAAATTATCTACATACTCAAATCTACTTCATATAATTGAATAATTATCAGTGAATAATTGATTAGAATAAAGCAAAACATTGCTTTATTGGCAATGTTTAGATTACTATATCATTTATTTATTTATTCATATTTATTTTGAGAAAGCGTCTCACTACATAGTCTGGCTAGCCTGGAATTTGTTATGCAGTCCAGACTCGCCTCAAATTCATAGAGATCTGCCTGCCCATCTGCCTTCTGAGTGCTGGGATTAAGGGTGTGTGCCACCATACCCAGCTGAAATTACTTTTTTGGCATGCAGTTTTGTAATTCCTGTGATGTAATAGACGAGCAAATGAGTTTATAAACAGGAGCACTGTGTTTAAGTCTCTGTGTTGTATAAAGACTTCAGAACTGAGGTGGACCTTCCTTTTCTGTCATTTTGTATCTATAGGACCACAGACTCTCTGTTTCTTCATCTATAAAGGAAGGACAATAATACCTTTCTTGAAGATTGCCATGGGGATTTATGTGTTTAAGCAGCTGATCATGATCATATTGTTTGTCTCATCAGAAGTACTTACTAAATGCAAGCTACTTTCCTCGTGGTGAACATTTAATTGTAATAGATTCTTTACTTCTTGGCTAGTAATCCAGAGGGGAATCTTAGAAACTAATTTAAAGGCTGCAATAAAAAGTGCCATCTAGAGTCAGTGATGATGATGATAACTGACATGTGCAATGAAACTCACACTTTTCTTCTAATTATAACAGAACTTTAAAACCAGCTAAACGGTACATATTAATTCAAAGGCAGCATGCTAGGTAATAAACTTCATGGAGGAACTGAGTTTTATACAAATATTAAAAACTAGAGGGAGAAGTCAGAGACAGAGGGGCCACCCATGCCCAATCTCAAGCAATATGATGGAAAACAGTGCCCTCGACATTTTCCTTACATAGCACTGCACTTCTGTTTTCTCTTCTTTTAAAATAAATTTACCTTTATAGAAAGAAAATTTAAACATGCTTGTCCTTTTTACATGACAGTCAAGGCAGTAATTTGGTTGAATAAACACATGTAAGTGACAGGTGGCACATTGATATATGGTATAGTAAGAATGAATTAAAAATAAGATTTAAGCCAGGTGTGGAGGTGCACCCCTTTAATCCCAGCACTTAGAAGGCAGTGGTTGGCAGATCTCTGTGAGAATGAGGCCAGCCTTGTCTACATAGTAAGTTCTAGGCCAGCTGTGGCTACAGGGAGACCCTGTCTCAAAAAGTCCTAAGGAAAGAAAAAAAGAAAGAAAGAAAGAAAGAAAGAAAGAAAGAAAGAAAGAAAGGAAGGAAGGAAGGAAGGAAGGAAGAAAGAAAGAAAGGAAGGAAGGAAGGAAGGAAGGAAGAAAGAAAGAAATACTTTTAATGTTACTTTTGTAAATACTTGCTAACAAATTTTTAAAGAAATAATACTCCCATTATTTTTATCTGTAAATGTACACGTTTTTGGAGTGTATACTGAGCAATATTACTCTGCTTCAAACCTACTTCAGTGAGTCTGTAGTCTTACCCATAAACACTAAAGATAAGAAAGGTTAAGCTGCCTCATGACTCATGACATCAAGTGCTGGACACAATATCCTTCTCAGGTGTTAACTACTGTCTTCTAAGCTAGTTCTGAAAGATTCTTAGATTTCACTCCAGGATCACTACTCCTCTCTCAACACTGCCTCTGTTCATAATTCTGGGTGGATGTCAAAATCCTTATAGAATATTAATTCATTGTCCTTCCTGCTATTTTCTTGACCTCTTCCATTAATTTGCCTTCTACTCAACATGATCCTAATGTTTACAGCATAGGCCTCATCATCACCCACAGGTGCAGTGTCTCCATAGTTTTCATTGGAGGCATCTCTCCCTCAAAGAACTTTCTTAACAGATAATTGGAATATAACAATTCTTCCTCTGTGCTGTGACCTGTAGTCCACTAATCCCATCATAATTTCAGTTTTTTTTTCATTCTGATCAATAAAGTTCTTCCTTCCTAAGTTTATGTTTTATATTCCGTTTTGTCTCTTTCATTTTCTGTGCCCTTAATGTTTCAATCTTTCTCTTTTTTTCTCTATCCCTTGATAAGTCCACCATTTTCCTTCTAGAAAACTCCGTGTGAATTCTTCTGGTTTCTACTAGATATAACTGGATAAATACTCAAGACCACACTGATATATGTCGCTTTGAACTCAGGTTTACTAAAGAGAGTTTTCTTTTGAGGCAGGGTCTGCCTGTAGCCACGACTGGCCTGGAACTTGCTGTGAAGATCAGCCTGGACTTGATCTCACAGAGCTCAGCTGCCTCTGCCCCACCCCCAAGTGCGGGAATTAAAGGTGTACATCAGCATGCCTGGAAACTTCAGAGATTTTTAATCATGTCACAGTCACTTATCCATTTAAAGTCCCTCCTTTTCTATCATTTCATTCCGTTTCTTCTCTCCAAGGCCTGTGCCACATTTTCACCTATATCTAATGACCTTCCTTCTGATGCCACTGATATAATGAATGCAGTAAAAAGACATCCTACTCATTGGCATCTGTGTCCATATACTTTTGATGTGACTGTAGAAGAATTAACATACTCTAATTAGCCAGTCCCTCTAAGAATGAAGGCCATGATATTTTTCATCTCTTTTTTCACATTAATGTTATTCTTTTAGAAACCAAACAAGTATACTGTGATTGCCTTTATCCTACAAAAATAGTATCACAGCATTCTACTTCCATGCTGGTTTTGATTTCTATTTGTGTGTGTGTGTGTGTGTGTGTGTGTGTGTGTGTGTGTGTCCACGGAGGCCCGAAAAAGGCATCATTGAAGCTGGAGTTACAGGTGCTTGTGAGCAGCCTGACATGGGTATTGGGAACTGAACTTGTGGCCTCTGGAAGAGTTTGCTACCACTGCTTTTAATTGCTTAGCCGTCTATCCTGCCTCAGCCGCACCCACCTACACTTTAAAAAAAAAAAAAAAAAAAAAGACGGGGTTTCCTCCAGCCCAGGATGGCCAGGAATTTACTATGCTAACCTTCAAGGATAACCTTGAACTCCTGTTTCTCCTGCCTCTACATCTCTAGTGCTGGGACTACACAGCTATACTACCACATCTAGTTTTTCCTATAGTACTTTGCTCCAT